TTTTGTGTTGCAGCCTAAACCATGCCATGAACACTGGACTCTGAAAGCATATATCTGCCTTCATTTGTATATTATGTCTTTACATAACCTATTGGCGATCTCCCACGTATCTACTTTGTGTCCTAGGGTAACATTACTGATGTGGCCTAAATGCAACCCAGTATAGCTGGAAAGACCAAAGCAAAACCTTCTATAATAAATCCCACATGACACAGAAATGGAAAATGGAAAAAATAAAGCATAAACACCCACTATCAATAAGAAAGAGCTTTTATATTATCTTACATGAATGCTCTTATTTCATTAATTATTTTATAATTGACACATGATAAAATTGATGATTGGGATATTAATATAAGATAAATTTGATAACATAAGGGGCCGGCCCAGTGGCATAGTGGTTAAGTTCACACACTCCGCTTCAGTGGCCCGGGGCTTGCAGGTTCGGATCCCGGGCACGGACCCATGCACTGCTCATGAGGCCATGCTGTGGCAGGCATCCCACATATAAAGTAGAGGAAGATGGGCACAGATGTTAGCCCAGGGCCAATCTTTCTCAGCAAAAAGAGGAAGACTGGCAACAAATGTTAGCTCAGGGCTAATTTTCCTCACCAAAAAAAAAAAAGATAAATTTGATAACATAAGGTCAAGTTATATTGTGACTCTTTGTTATACATTCCAACAAATTTTATCTATTTTTGTCTTCATGTGGAGCATCTTTCCTCAATGGTAACCTACAATTTTCCTAACCTTTTTTCCTGAACTTCTCACATGAATAGAAGATCCCCTCCTCTAGCCCACATTTCAAACCCAGGAATGCATCAGTTTACATCAGTCTTCTTTCCTCTTTTGCACCACTGGGTTGAGATACATCACATGTCTTTTGCTAGAAACAAAGGTCTTGCTTGGCTACAATCTCAGCCAGGACCATTTAACTACGAAGCTTCTTGAATTTGTGTTCCCACCCTAAACAGTTAAATATCTAAATGGATCTATCTTATGACAGATATACAAATGCCCTCTGCATGTCCAATAAGCCCAGTTGACAACATACCATTTGAAGCCACACTTGCCCAGGCCCATGTGGCGCACAGCTGCATTTCCTGGCAGGACACGGAGGAGCATTGTAATAGTCTCTCAGACTCTGAGCCATCCATGGAGGCTGTACTCCCCAGTGAGCTATTAGGATTCCTCGCTTATATTCAGGGCTCTTCTCTTAGCCACATGCATTGTTAGAATAATTTCATTAGTACAAGTATAATTTTCTTCCAAAAGACTCACAAGTCTTATTTTGACAATTGAGCAATAATAGTGATGAGAAACACTAGTTTTTAAGCCATATCTAGTACCTTATTCTGAGGAGCTCAAAACTTTAATTTTTGAAAGGGATATTATCCCTCTCAATTATAATTTATTAAAAAAAAAACTAGTTAAGGAATCTGTCTCCGGCCTTTCCCAAAGTTATGCCATGTTCCTGGAATAAAGTCAGCTACCGTCTCTTCTGCACCATACCAGCCACTGTGAATCAGAGCTCCTAAACTAAGTCATGTAAGCTCCATGTCACCTTCCCAGCCATGAAATGGAGAAATCAATGCCTACTTTGCCGGATTTTCATGAACACTGTGTTAAATGAAGTCACAAATTTAGAGAGCATGGCAGGGCACCCAGCACTCAGTAAGTATACAGCACATGTGAGTTTCCTCTCCCCAGTGCATCCTCACAGTCCAGCCCACACAGTCCTGAGCAGCCAAGCAGCACAACCAGCCATGACCCAGCACAACCAGCCAAGACCCGGCACAACCAGCCAAGACCCGGTACAACCAGCCACGACACGGCACAACCAGCCACGACCCGGCACTACCAGCCAAGACCCGGCACTACCAGCCACGACCCGGCACAACCAGCCAAGACCCGGCACAACCAGCCATGACTCGGCACAACCAGCCAAGACCCAGAACAACCAGCTATGACCCAGAACAACTAGCCATGACTCAGCACAACCAGCACAACCAGCCATGACCCAGCACAACCAGCCATGACCCAGCACAACCAGCCAAGACCCAGCACAACTAGCCATGACCCAGTATAACCACCCACCATGGAGGGGCTAGGGTTGACCACACAACCAGGAAATACAGGGCTTGAAGGATAATAGCTTATTTGTACAAGCATGTATTAAAATCCAGGGAAGTCACTTAAAATTCATGAGATGAAGAAAAATCATAAGAAAGTGAGGAAGAGGATGGAGGAGGGAGGGCAGCCATTTCAGCTGAAGTGTTAAATCTGCTAGATTCAGAGGAATGAGAACTCCATGTACCTATCCCACTAATCTGTTAGGCGTAACTTTTACCTATGGTAGGATACCTACGGTATTACTCATTTTGTCTCCTCTTGTGGAGAAAAGGGAACATTTACAAGGTGCTCACCACAAACCCAACACTTGGTACATGTTTTACCCTCCTTCCCCTACTAGGAGGTAAGTATCATCATCCAGAGATGCAGAAACCTGGGGCTGTTGAAGTCAACGATCTGCACCTCCTCTCCGCTGGTAAGAGAGAGACCCAGATTTGTGGGCTCTGATCGCCTGTTCTCCCAGTGTACGCAAAGCCAGCCTCTGTGCCTAAGCATGCATTTTACATGTCAATACGCCTGCAGTGGAATTCAGACAGGTCTTTTTATCCAAAGAAAAATTCTGAATTATTGTTTTGATGCACCATTTAATAGATGTTTTTAAAACAAAAGCTTGAGTTGGGTATTTTGTTCGATGGACACAGTTTTAAGCAACATTAGGTGTAAGATGCACATGGTTTAATAAAACAGAAGAAGAACACAGCACTTTAAAAAGGAGGCCTGAGGATTCCAAGGTTCATTCCAATTTCAGAAATGTTAGTGAAGGGAGAACATGTTATCTTAAAATCAAATAAATATGGTACCAAAAAACAAAGGTTTTTAAACATATCTTGGGTCTGTTATTGAAGAAATATTGCTATTTCACAGAACTCTATGTGATACCCATGATCAGAAAAAACATCCACTGTAAAACTTTTGGAACAATGAGACTTTTTGTTAGAAATTTCTATATACAAGGACAATCAGCACTGGATTATTTTATCATCATTCCTAAAGTTTAACAACAATTTTACAAAAATAAAGGGTGGCAGAATATATTAACATTTGCAAATGTCACTCCTGTGCTATGTGGCATCTGGTTCCCCGAGATGAACCGGAAACCCGACTTCTCACACTGCCCCTTCTTCAACGGCACCCCATCGAGAATCAACGTTCATGAAGGTACAGCTTGCTCCTTTTTCCCAACTTCCTTTCTCATAACTATATTTTAGGCCATATTTGCTTATTTTATTCATTAAAATAATCTCAATGGCAATAGAGATCTATAAAATATTTTCTAATTGAAAATTTTCAAGTATTCACAAAAGCTCAGTTCAGTTTTGCTAAAAGATATTTTCAATATCTCACTTACAAATCACTACACCCAGTTTCCCGTCACACACCTTACTGGTCCTTAACTTTGCTCTTATCTTCTGACTCTCATTCATGACCACTCCTCAGTCTCACTGGCAATGTGTTATGCAAAGGATTCAAAAAGGAATCAAATAATTTCAAAAAATACACTAAAAAGATTCAGAATAGGTAATGGCAACACATATTACTAATTAGGAAAAGCAGGTACACTACAGTATATGTTGCATGACCTCATTTTTGGGATAAGTGAAGCATAATCAAATGTATATCTCAATATTGTTTATAACAGGGGAGAAAAATTTAAACCTCAATACCCATTGGGAGTGGCCCAAAAAGCTAAATTAGGGTCAACGATGGAAGGGGGTGTCATGAAGACTTCAAGTGACACTGATGGGAGCTAGTCAGTGACATGACAAGCTTTGTTTATTTATTTTTTCAACATTCAATACAAATGGAAGGTAAACTACGTGCCAGACACCATAACACGCCCTGGATTGCAACAACCCACCATCAGTGAAAAAGAGCGGATCAACAAAACAGCATCCACAGTATGTCCCACTGACCCCACACACACACACACACACACACACACACACACACACACACAGAGGTAGGGGGAAAGCACACAATTACACAATAACATTAGTCGCTGAATCAAAGCTTCAAACTTAAGGGGACAAAATGAAATCGATATTCCCAAATACTTGTTTCATTAATATTCATATTTTCTACATTTTTTACAAAGCACATCCCTCTGTATTTTAATACAAGACCATTCACTTTTCCATATGAGTGATTTTCAGCTGACGTCATTTTTTTCACCTTTTCTCCTAATTCAGAAAGTTTCTTTAGGGGCTGGCCAGGTGGCACAAGCGGTTAAGTGCACGTGCTCCGCTGTGGGGGCCCTGGGTCCACTGGTTCGGATCCCGGGTCCGCACCGACGCACCGCTTGTCAAGCCATGCTGTGGCGGCCTCCCATATAAAGTGGAGGAAGATAGGAACAGATGTTAGCTCAGGGCCAATCTTCCTCAGCAAAAAGAGGAGGATTGGCATCAGATGTTAGCTCAGGGCTGATCTTGCTCACGAAAAAAAAAGAAAGTTTCTTTAAATTGTATAGTCCTCTTTCTCCACGCAAATCCTTTTTGTGAGAATTTGCAAAATCCCATTCTTACATGCTCTCTCCCTTTCTTCCTTCAATCTGAACAACAGTGTCCATATCCGTGCTACATATTCCCATCTTTGTCCATGGGTATTTCCACATTTTTCCATATTTCAGTGAGAGCAGATGTGCGTCAGCACTGAAGACAAATACCTCTATTGTAAAAGAAAACACTCTAGATTTCCCTTTCTCTCCAGTAAAGGTCTATTTCCTAAGTTTGCCTCCCTAGGTAGACTCAATGAAAATTGGCATGTAATCTGAAATATAACAAAATTTCACTAAAATAAAGTCTGACAGACACAAAAAATATGATGTGAGACCTATAGGCACCAGAGGTACCTACACAGGAAGACTGTACCTGCGGGGCAGACGGGCTGAAGGCCACTCCCGTGACTGTGTCCGTGTGTCCCGCGAGCCTATGAGAAAAAGTGCTGGAGCCCATTTCATACACATATGCCTGAAAGACAAAACAGACAGGGGTTCTATGCTGAGAGAGTCAATAATCAATTATCGATGATGCAAAGTAGAAGGATACTCTACGGCTAACCAAGTGTCACGGCAGCAATGATATAATGGACAAAACGCCATCTAGGTCATAGAATGAAATTTAGGAAATACACATTTCTCCTCTTTTCTCTATTAGAATTTTTATCATCTTAATGAATTTATATAATACTTTCTGGCCTATCATAAGCCTTCACAAAACATTGTGAAGAGTTTTAAATATATGCTTATATTTGATGACTAATTCTAAGGAAGGAGTACAGATTTTGTATTGCAACCTTATCTGGAAGTCACAAATCGAGTGAAAAGGTGATGTTTTATTGTCCTTTCCCATAAACTTGAGAGATAGCTGTCTATACTTTGCTTCCTACTAATCAACTTGGAATTTGAGCAATTCAAATATTTAGAATTTTTTCTGTAGCTGTTGATAAAATTAAAAATAAAAAATATACATTCCTCTCTAATGTTATTATATAAAAAGATATCTAGATATACATATATAGACATATACATATATACACATATCTATATATCTCTTTAGAGTTGTCATCAAATACTTCATTTAGGGACAAGATCTGGAATCAGGGTACCACTCTGATGTGATATAAGACAAGAGAGAACCATACTAATTATTAAGTAACAAAATGTGCAAAGAAGTATTTTCTGAACTCTGCTGGGAATAAAGAGAGATAGATGCCACATTGCAAGACCTCAAAGGTGATTCCTTTATTGGCCCAGGGGACCCCACTTTGAGAACCACAGGCTAGACAGTATATTGTGGTCTACACAACACTTCACAACTGTCACAGAAATCACAACTGGTCGAGGTATGCCCACTTGAAATTATTAATATCCCCATATTTTTATTGAGGAAACCATGACATGTAGAGAGTAAGTTACTAGTATGGCCATCAAATGTCGATACTGAGATTCTAAACTGGTTTTCTGACTCTAAACTCTTGCTTTCTATTTTGCTAGGCTGCCAAAGACAACACCCATTCATGAAGGACTCAGGGCATCTTCAAAATCCCTCTGGTCTCACATGTGTTTCAGAACTATCTTGGTCACTTCACCATTTTCTCTTCAGGACTGCCAATGAACAATGCTATAATTAATTTTGGAGCGTTTCTCAGGATTCAAGACTGTCCTCTTGTCTGCTGTGCAGATTAAGTGGATAAGGGAAATTATAATGACCACACCTCTTTGCATCTATTATTTCCAGTTATCAAATATAGAAGTTAATAATAAGAAAGGAGAAACAGGTTTCTAATCACCGTTGACGTCTCCACAATGCAGCTCAGAGGCACTGAAAACCACCAGAACCTACTGAGAAGTGACGCGATGCTCCGAGAAGCAGGTGCGGGGAGAAATGAGTTTAAGGTGACAACCAGGCCTGCAGCTGTTACACATTCAGGAAGCAGGACGAGGCCAGCATCAGAGATGGCGACATCTGTTTGACTTGTGATGTGGAGGAGTCACTCAAACCATGACAGTGGGTTGAATTTACTACAGTGGGTTGAATTTACTACAGTGGGTTGAATTTACTACAGTGGGTTGAATTTACTACAGAAGACGTGAGAAGAGGAAGGAATGTCAGAGAACAAATAGACAGATGTAGAAAGAGAACCATGAGAAAGAGAAGCTGTGGGAGCAAAGGAGTCCCAGAAATAAGAAATGGGCAGAGAAAAGAGCCAGGAGCTTAGGTAACTGGGCGGACCTTGTAACTTGCTAGGAAGCAGCTTCAGTGTAACATGTGACAGACATCCGATTATAAAGGGAAGTTACGTGCAAGGCAAAGGCTTAAACTAATATTTTTAGACCCCAGGGAACTTGTTTATAGGCTAATGGAAAATGGACTGAGACTGAAGGAATGAGAGAGAAAGTTTTCTGATGCAACAGGGTCCCAGACAAGTCAGGGACGACGGGCGGAAGACACAGGTGCCGAGGAAGCTGCTTCCTCCTTCCTCCCTGACAGACCAAGGAGCAAAGTTAAGTACAGACAGACAACTGTTGAGGCTGACAGGTGAAAAGAAGGTCTGAAAATTAGAGGCAGTGTTTAGAGTTTGAGGGTTTTTTTTCCGTTCAAATCAGCTTCCATTCTATCATTATCACTTGTTGAAAAGTCCTTCCTGAGATTCGTTATGTTTTTACCTAATTCTAAGTAGGACTTAACACTGGCTGGTACTTGCATGAAATCTCGAAACACACACAAAATGACACCATAATATTGTGAAAGAAGTCTAGGTAAGAGTTATTTAAGAAAACAGGTTTTTATTTTCTATATGAAAATGTTAGTAAGTGAAACACATCTTTTCGTGGAGAAGGTTCTTGAGTCAAATGAATCTTTATGGTCATGACAAACTTTAAACATGAAAACAGCAGTCTGCAGTCCCAAATATCAGAAATATCTTATTAGACACGCACTTGTCATGAGCCAGTGGCAATGACCAATCCAAAGGACAAGATGTATCTCACACGATATGGTTGAAAAGTAAAGAATAACTTTACAAATGGTTCAATTTCATTACAATCCTTGTTGGGAACAAAATGTTTTAACTGGAGGTAACAACAGTTGTTTGATTCATGAAGCAACTTCTCCCCATCGAAGAGAAATAAGCTGTAGCCAAAATGTACTAAGAAACAAAGGAAACTCAAAATAAAACCTGTATAAAGTAAATCTTACTCCAAAACTAAATAAATAAGCCCTGAGAAGGGGGCAAGAAGTGGGTAATATTTTTTCAAGCAAAAGATGAGGATGTGGCACAAACCACACAAGAGCTGGAATAATGCTTTACTGTTCAAAAATATTTTCACAAAAGTTGTAAGGGACTGAATGTACTAATGAAAAAGATGGATGTTTAGCAAACAGGACTAGACCAATTCATTACGACTATTTTGTAACTCTATTGAACCGTATCTGCAAAGATGAAGTTTCTTTAATTTTTTGTCTCACAGAGTTCTAACACGTGTCCTTAATTTCCCTGTACTAGAATTATCACCACAGAAGAAATGGGAAAAAGAATTGCAAACAGAAGTTAATTCTGTATTTCTGAAACTTCATAATAGTAGCGAAATTGTCCACAGAGGGATCAACCATCATATTATGGTCACTTACTTTTTAAAATATTTCCAGAAATGACATTTCTCAGAACTGTGTACATTTCTTCAGATCATTGAATTTTTAGTTCATAGAAAAATAAACTTTTATCAGAAGACCAAAATGTTCATGATTTAATACAGAGCCTTACATTAAGAAACATTGCCTACTTCCTGTAGCAAGCAAAGACTCCAGTAGAAAATCACTGATTTTGGCACACCAAGTCATTTGGCCACTACCAATGGACAACTGGATGTTAATGGCATTGCTCTGGGTCCTCCATCAGGTTTGGACGTAGACACACTCTCTTTCTCTGATAACCTCCATCAAGGTCTGCAATGGGACGACGGCAAACTCCAGGATACACTCTGCCCCTCTCCCTGCCACTTCCTCTCGAAAAGACAGAGCACAATAGATCACTGTATGGCACTGACCACTGGTCTAACCACCAGTATCATATACCTAGGGCTGCAGCAGCTTGAATAGTCTTGAAATAAATCTTTATCAACTTTATTTCTAATAACAACCTGGTCTTTTTCAGCATCTTTGAACCTGCAGTCAATTATATAACTAGTCATCTTTTAGTATACACTTGTCATTCATTCATTTTGATTTCTTTGAAAATATGATCACATAGTGCAGATCAGGGCAGAGGGATCTGGCAAGAGTAGCTTATCAACGCGTAACTTTGGCATTATCCTGATAAAGTCATTGCAGTGTGACAATAGCTTTCTATATGGTAAGATTCAAGCAATATTTATTAAATGTAGCTACAAACATATATTATTTCACTTCACCCATACAGTAGACATCTCACAGTGCACTGCTACAGAGGAAAACACCAAAGGTCAGAGAACAGTGATTTCCAAATTCGCAGAGCAGAACCAGGATGCAAACACAGCCTTTCTCTGACCAGAGAGAGCTCTCACTCCAGCACACAGCCACTGTCCTCCAGGAGGCGCGCGGCAAAGGGGAGGGGCTCGTGCAACAGTCAAGTAAAGAGCCCCTGTGTCCAGTTCTGTTTCCAACTGTATCTGTGCTTGGCTTTTTATTTTGAAAAATTTCAAACACATGCAAAAGTACGGAGAATTATAAAACGAGCCTCATAAAAACATAACCCAAATACAACATTATCAAGATTTTGCTATACTTGCTTCAACCGCCATAGCTTTTTTCTTTTCTTTTTCTTTTCAGTTTTTGTAGTTGAAAAAGTATGAAGTCTTTTGAAGCAAATTGCCAAGATGATGTCCTATGTATTTTGTAAGTATCTCTAAAAATATGGACATTTTAAACATAACTTTACAGCCATTTTTACATCCAACTAAAATAAAAACAATTCCTTAATATTTAATACCCAGTCATAACAATTTCCCAATGTTCTCGAATGTCTTTTTATAGTTATTTTGAGTAAATCAGGATCCAAATAAGATCCATATATTGTTGTTATATCTCTCTCTCTTTCTCTCTCTTTTGGAGCAATTCTTTCCCTCCTTGCCTTTCTTCTTTTCATGCCATAGACTTGTTGAAGAACCTGGCTCTGTGTCCTAAAGAATGTTCCATATTCAGATTTGTCTGTTTGCTTTCTTGTGATGTTTTTCAACTTATTCCATTATCCTACATATTTGCTGTAGGACAGAGATTACCTAGAAAGAACCAGTTAGGTTCAGGTTCAACTTCTTTTTACAAGAATACTTTATGATGAATATTAGTGGGATCTGTACACACAATGGCATCAGGAATGAACAGTGTCTAAACTGTCTCCACTTACTGATGCTAATGCTGGCCAGAAGGTTTAGGTTGTGATAGCACGATGCTCTCTGGGAGAGTTTCCCATCAACCTTTTTTTAATTGTAGTG